TATCTATCTATCTATCTATCTATCTATCTATCTATCTATCTATCTATTTATCTATCTATATGCTGTTCTTTATCTGGAGTTGGTAACAAAAATAAACCTGCTGTCACAAGTCTTCTAAGTCTATAAAATCACTACAATTAGAATTCAAGACTGGAGTTTTTTTTGTTTTTTTTTTACTGCTTAAGGCTATCATTTTCAGTTCTATACTGAGCCAGCTGAGTCAGTTTTTCTCAAAAGCTGTCCACTCTGTCAGGTTATTGTGGAAATATGAGGAGTCACTGTATTAGGTAACAAAAGAAAAAAATCTAAAAACAGTCAAAGGTAATCTGATTTAACTCGTCATGACGTTTGTTGTACGTCCCCAAGTTACTCTGATTTGAATAGTCAAGTAGTCAGCGCAGGCTTTCAGATACCACAAATGTGAATATTATAAATGCAATGTGTTGTGCTTTTATTCCAGAACTACAGGTTGTTAATGCATGTTTAGATTTGAACTACCTTTGTAGTAATCAGGTAATACTTTTAATCAAAGTGGCAGTTTTTAATGTGTTCATGAGGTATTTTTGTGTGATATTCCATGGGGAGAAAATAACGAGTTGAGGCAAACTGTAAACAACTGTAAATTGGACAAAGTGAGGCTTGTTGATTTGTTGCCTGGAAACTAGATTTGATATTGGTTTGGTGATTTTTTACCCCCTTCATACCCTCTCTTTATTTTATAGTGTTTACTCATTCATTCTCTCATCTTCACCATGAAGTACAGCCCTAAGATTGTATCTCTTATCAAGAATCCCTCATCATATTGTAGCCTTCGTCTTCGTAAACAATTTTGATGCACTTCTCAGTGTAAACACACTGCAGGCTTCTATTCTTAAGGTCACTTAGCTAAAAAAAAAATAAGTAAGAAAGCTCCTCAGGCTTTCTGATTTTGAAACCTGTCCATGACAGTGCAGCCACTGGAGGAGGCAGAATCGATATCAAGCCCCTCAAAGGTCAGAACTTTGCGTAGGTGTGCTTCCATCTCTGATGCAGGAAGCGTTTTTCACTTTTTTCTTAAAAGTGAAGTGCTTATCCTCGAATAACCCAAAATGTTAATACACTCAGGTGTTAAAACACTACCAAAGCTTACCTGATGTGCGTGTCTTTGGTACTAAGGGCTAATCCCTGGTAGGCTTAAAATCTGTCTGTAGAAGGAACTTTAGTTCCAAATGTCAATATCTTTGAGAATTGCAGTTATATAACAATGTGGAACACACTTTTCAATTACCTTTAGTAACAATATAGCTTTATAACTGTGATACTAAGCAGTGATCCAGTGATTTAAAACTTATTGTTTGTACTTTATAACAAATTTGTTTTAAATGAGTGACCTGTAACAACCTCTATGTTCAAATTCAGGGAATTAGTTGAAATGGTTTCAGTCCCTTGTGTCTTAACAAATGTCTTGACAGCATATGAGCAGGGAACTGGCATCCCGCTGATAATGGAGTATATACCTCTATGAATAATTGGCCCTGCTGCGAGACAGAGCTATTAAGTATAATTTCACACAGAATCTAAAAAAAAATGAGACTACTCCCTGCGGCGTTGATTTGGTTTGCTACTCTGACTTACCATGTAGCTTTTGGGCAAATGAATAATTATTGTTATGTTGTGTTGCTGATGCCTTGAGCATACAATATGGTTCCTGTCCCACTTGGACAGTCATGGTCATGCAAACAGCTGCTCCACTGAGGCGGGAAAACATCATTGCAAATAATGTTAGATTCACTAGAGAGCAGCAGTTGGATTTTAAGTGGGTATGTGACTGTTTTAGAAAGAAGCCATATCCAGGATCAAAGCGGCAGCAAATGAAACATATTCATCATTAAAACACAGTAAGGGAAGCAATTGATATTTAATATGATCTAGAATCCTTTAGAACCCTCTGTTAATAATTTACTTTTTATTCGAACAATTTAAGTAACATAATAATAGAGATGTGATTTCAGTTTCAGACGAGAGTCTAAACTTGTCATCAGGCTGAATAAGGACAGTCTGTGGCTGATAATGAAGTCTCTGTAAAAGATCATTTTCAGCCCTGGAGACAGGTCTTAGTGTGTGTGTGTGTGTGTGTGTGTGTGTGTGTGTGTACCTTTCTTAGCCCTTTGGTGGAATTCAGGCATTTGCTGTGAGTGACTGTCCTGCTTTGTGCATTTTGTCTATGTGAGTAAGAGGTACCTCAATTGCCTATTGTGTAAATAATTACTCGCCTGTTAAAAAGGTTAAAGCAGCGCATCTGTAGTCAAATGGTGCCAAGAGAGGAAACAGAGAAAGCCTCTGATGCAGAGGGAAAAAGGAGAGGCTGTTGGCTTTACAGATTAAACAAATCATGAGATTGAATGAAGCTTCGAAAAGAGATCGTCGGCTGTTTTGGACAAAACATATCTGTTATTTTTGGAGTGAGAGTAGGAGGATATGAGAGAGGGAGTGTTGGTTTGAGATTTGTCTGCAGCTTTGCTTTTGAGAGGCTGTGGCACATTGGTGCTTTAAGCTAAAAGATAATGTAAATTATGCATTCTTGTACTTGTTCTCGTCCTATTTCTGCTGGTTTTATGGTTATATGTCCTATTGAGAAAGAATATTGACACAGAGTTAATGCCACAGAGGCAGTTTGTACTATGTACTTATGTACTATTCAAAGTTTTTATGCCGGAGCTGCACTGGTTTTCTCCTGGTAAGGAAACTGTTCCAATCAACTCAGTGGAAAGCATTTACCAAAAGTTGAATTCCTTCAAATTCATTATGGAAACGCTAAGAACGGCAGATAAAGTGGCTAATCAAGTACATCAGCTTTGTCTGTTTTCAGATACAGAGCAGTTTCTACAATGTTTAAATCTAAACCCAAGTCAAACTCACAGACATACTGCAGGTATGGGAAAACCTTGGGTGAAGTGCACTTAGTCGCAAAGTAGATTTAAATGTTAATCATAAAAATGTGAAGAGTGCTGAATGTGCCAGTAGGATCCATGTCAGGGAGATGAATAAAGGTCGACGTCAAGGCAGGGAGCGTTAGAGAGTGAGGGAGTAAAACAAGGCACAGAGAATGTAAAAGGCCTATATATGGGCAATTTATGTGGCGTGCTTTAACACGCCCTTCCACCATCTGTCACATCCCACATTACAGGGAGAGGACAGGAACAGCATCAGTGCTCATCTCTCCCAGTTAACCAACTGCTATTTCAGCCCTGAGCCGCAACCTCAGCAACTGCTCCCCACCAGGCCAACCAGCATTTATGTTTCATTTTTATATCTAAGGAATTTATTTGACACACAGGCAAGGCAGCTAAAGCCCCAAAGCAGAATCGGGTCACTGTACTCCCCTCACTCCACTTATCATTCAGTGTTTCTTTCAATCCCTCGTTTTTTTTCTTCTTCTTTGGTCTCTTCTCTTTTCTCCCTTGGTCCCTTAACATATAGTCTCACTTAATTTTCCTGCTGTCAGCGTCACAACCACCCACTTTTAGAATGTTTAATTTCTCTCGCAGCCAGGAGTAATTCGGGGTCCTTGGGATTTACATCAATGTCGAGCTCTCTCACACGGTTGGCTGCTGGAGTGTGAATAGGAGTTGATCCTTTCTCCCAGCATCTTAATTGCAGCCCTGTGGTTGGCAGCTTATTGGTGTATGTGACTATATGTCTGTCTTCAAACACTTTAGGGTGACTATTTTTTTTTTATTCCTTCACTTACTGACAGCAAAGAGAGATAAATCTGAATCTAGTTTGACAGTAGTTTCAGGTTCATTTGGTTAAGAGTTCCAAAAATGTGACATTTTCAGAAGGGTGTGAATCCTAAGCATCAGCCCGGTTTTAAATATTGAAGCAGGGTGTCACTGTTTGAAAGAGAAAGCTTCTCCCTATAGAGGTGTCAGCTGTGTGTTCCTTAAAGCCCAGGGATGCAAGGGTGTAGCACACATCTGCACACACACACAGACACACACACGCTTTGTGTTTGGGATGTCGCAGTCACCTACGCACACTCTTGATCTTTGAGAATAATCAGCTTTTGGGAACATTCCTCCTCATTGCTTATTCATAGCCTGGCATTGTGTTTATGTCTTATTCATGGCCCTGCTTATGATGTCTGTCTGTTTTAATGAGTAATCGGGGATAATTGCAAGCGTGTCGATCACGTAGAAGGCAGATTGATACAAGGCATGCTTTTTTTTGTCAAGGAGACTTATCTCCCAGAAATTTCCGGTGCGCCTGCAGAGCGCTAAAGATGAAGCGTGAAAAAGATTTGGGTTTTTTGCAAAGTCATGTGGGCATTTTGGCTTCATTTCAGCTTTCAGGATTTGCATTATCTCTGCACAATTGTACCAGTAACAGACACATATTCCACTGTGTAACCTTTAACCTGCTTGCGAGCCCACCCCGGGTTTGCTGTGCTTAACCCTGCTCTTCTTTACTTGTTGTCGGCAGATGAAGCCACAGGTTTCGGACCAGTGTTTGAGGAGCAGCCGGTGGATACCATCTACCCCGAGGAGTCACCCGAGGCCAAAATTACCATGAATTGCCGGGCGAGGGCCAATCCACCTGCCACATACAAGTAACATATGTTCCCATAAACACAGTGTCATAACTACACGCTGTGTCTTCTGTGTACCTCACCCCGTCTGAGGACTTATTTCAGGCCATAACCAGATTGTTTGTTGCTTTGAAATGATGGATCAGCTCATATTTTTTCTGACATATTTCTCAGTGGTTTCCATTATAAATTTGACATCTATGTAAATGTATCGCCCTGCATCCTCAAATAGCTTTTGCTGTCAAAGAGCCTGGAATTAGATGTCAGAGGGGAAGGAATTAGCTTTGGTCAAAGCTTGCTATTGTGCTACAGAAGTGGTATCTCTACTACTCAACACGTGAAATCAGTATTTTAATTTATTTTAGTTAGTAATGGCTCTTGTGGGGGTGTCATAGTGAATATTTGATATTAAAAGATCATCTCTCAGCGTCACTGCTCTGAAAAATGTTTTTGAAAAAAGCTTTTCTAATGGTGCGGCATGTACTGGTAAAACAAAGCATTTTTCTGAAAATGTCAATTCAAATGTTCAGTACTCCCATTTCACCTTTCTCTGATTGCTGCCATCACCGTGCTGACTCCTGCTGTTTCTCTGCAGATGGAAGCTGAACAACACAGAAATAGATTTGACTGAAAACGACGGCCACTACAGCCTATCAGGAGGCAATCTGGTCATCAGCAACCCCAGTAGAACCAAACATGTGGGAACATACTCTTGCTTGGCTACCAACACGTACGGCACGGTCATCAGCCAAGAGGCCTTTGTCCAGTTTGGATGTAGGTTTTTCCAGATGGAATCTCCATTTATTGTAGAATGGCATTTGTGGCGTGGTGGGTGGTGTAACCTCACGATCATTGCAGAGATAATGTGCATCTATTTAAAAATCACACCTTATTTCAAGAATTTACCTCATTCTCGCTTTGTTCCTCTTTTATTTGAATTTAGTTGTAAGATTTCCTCAAATTCAAACTGTTACATCTTTATCTCCCTTTCGCAGATCTTGATCTTTTCTCATCGGAGGAGAGACTGACAGTGAAAGTCAAAGAGGGGCAGGGGGCAGTTCTGCTTTGTGCTCCCCCACCACATTATCCAGGTAAATCTTTGCTGTGACCATCACTAGTCCCACTAACTGACTGACGGAAGTTTTGCCTTCCAAAATTTGGGTGAATTTTTCCCCTCAAAGGAATAAACGCTTATGCAGTTTGCTGTCGTCTCTGTGCTGGAATTGTTTCAGCATCTTCACTAATGTAATGGATCCTGTTTTGTTATGTTATGTTTGTTTGACAGAATAGTTTTCTGTATTTAGCCATAGCTACCGCCCCCTGGAAAATTTTACAGACAAATTGAATAATCACGCTGATTCAGATCTGTCTCCTATATCAGGTGTGAAAGCACTAACTCTTTCTCAGATTGCATCACAATTGCCTTAACAAACCCAATGTGTTTGGAGCATGCCCCTGCTACGCCTGTGGGCTAAAAGCATTACACAATTTCCTCTGCAAGGTCAATGGAGGCCTGAACTCTAAAACCCCCTAAGCGCTACGTTTTTGTTATTTTTTTGCTTGGTTTGTCTTTAGAATACTTAGAAAGAGCCAAGGACAGCCGATCCCCTCAGCTCTTTCCAAAGCTGTCGCTGTGTGTTCAGACTCTTGATTGATAGGTGGCTTTTTGACATGCCTCTTTTTGTGCAGCCAAGCTGTCGTTTAGATGGATCCTCAATGAATTCCCCACCTTCATCCCGCTGGACAAGCGACGATTTGTCTCCCAGATAACGGGCAACCTATATATCTCTAAGGTGGAGTCGTCAGACCGAGGCAACTACTCCTGCATTGCATCAAGCCCGTCCATTTCCAAGAGTGTTTTTTCCAACTACATCCCACTCGAGCCTCAGGCTGAGCGTAAGTATCTTTGAACCTGCTAGCTTTTTCCAAGCCTAGTAGCTCACTCTTGTTTAAACTCTTTTTTTGTACCCATTGACTTGAAATTAGCTTTAAAAAAAGCCCAAGGTGTGATATAAGTTGGTTTATGTTTATCATCTAACACTTTGATTATAATATAGAATGTCGATTCTTGCCATGGTTCTTGATTAAATCAGTAAGAATATAACAGGTAATTGAAGTATGTTTTTTCTGTGATTGTTGTGTATTCTCTGAAATAGTGTTCAACTGCTACTCCACATTTAATTCATTTCCATTGAATCATGGAGTTCTTGTGTTTTATGTGCAAATGTTTGGCACAGTGCCTAAATAGGAAGCTTTTCTGCTAAGGTCCCACTAGGAAATACCTGGCTGATCTGAGAGTCAAGTTCCCAGACACGACTGCTTTGGTGGGGCAGAACGTCACCCTGGAGTGCTTCGCGTTGGGAAAGTAAGTGGGAGAGATGATTGGTGAACTTTGTGCGGGTAAACTATGCAAACTGAAAGGTTTTGTGAAAATACCCTGTCATTCAGAGGAAAATGTGCAACAGGGTGAGTCACAGCCAGAGACAGATTTAGCTCCACAGATGGAGAGGTCAACAATCGACCATTTGTGGAGCCCCAGTGATCCAAAGCCCAGTGTCGATCTACAATTTGGCAAGATTGTGAATCCATCAGTGCCCTACAACCATCTCTTTTTAGCTGATTTAGATGAAAGAATCTAGATATAGATTGAAGTAAATATGAATCCTCGGTCTGTAAAAAAATGACAATAAATGTTATCAATACTCAAAGTTAATATAGTTAGGTCAAATGTACAGTAGCATAGATTGATGGAAAGCTGAGCCAAATGATCCCTGAAACATATTTTTAGAATTGTGACAAATTGAGCTCAGTGATACATAAGTCAAAGCCCGGCTTGTGTACTATGTTCCTGTGTCTGTCCTTCCCAGTCCAGTCCCTGAGATCCGGTGGAAACGGGTAGATGGAAAGATGCCCCACAATCATGAGGTGCGGATGGCGGGTGCTCAGCTGCATCTGTACAATGTTCAGTTTGAAGACAGTGGCACCTATGAGTGTCAGGCAACAAACGTGAGAGGAAAAGACTACCACACTGCACGCGTGTCCGTGGAGGGTAAGATGAATTTGAAAAATATCATCATGAAGACCTAAATGCCCTTTGTGTTCTGATTTACGTGTCTGCAAGACTTACTTTGCTTTTAAATTGCATTTAATATCACTCCATGGATCTTTCAGCAGCTTTGACATTTCCTTACATTCCTGAAAGACTCTCACTTTCCTCATTGCAGCTTATCCTGAGTGGGTGGAGCGCATCATCAGCGTAGAGAAAGACCTCTATAGTGACTACAATATGTCCTGCATAGCCAGTGGGAAACCTAAACCACAAATCCACTGGCTGAAAAATGGAAAACCGGTAAATAGAAAATTTGCCCACAAATCTTTGTTGTCCTAACCGTTCGCATTTTAGTGTGTTGTCTGAGTCGTTATGGTAGCTTTATGGGGTTTCGGCCTCTTTAATATGCAGCAATGTGTTGTTACTGTGGCTCAGCGGAGACAGGAAGCTGGCACTGTGGGTACACATCATGATAGGAAAAAGTACCTGTTGTTATTCAGCCGTTGCCAGCATGAGTTGTGTAATGCTCCCTAGAAACAATTGTCATCAGGCCTGGAATACCCATGAGAGCAGTAACTAGTCAGCGCAAAGTGGGGGAGGTGGTGAGATCTGTCATTATGCACTAATGAAATCCTCACCCAGTTAAACGAACTGTCATAGCTGTTGTTCTTTCCATAAAGGCCAGCAATTGCTAGTTTTAGTTTAAGTCCTTAGCAGTTTAATTCAATGGAAAATGTACAAGAAAATCCAAATGACAACTTTATTTCCTGCAGATTGACAGAAAAGAGGTACGATTCAGAAGGCTGACATTTGATGATTCAGGGATGTACCAGTGCATAGCGGAAAATCACCACGGAGTTATTTATGCCAATGCAGAGCTGCGAGTGTTTGGTGAGTCAAACCTTGGCTAGGTCTGCTGCAGCACTAAAGCCTATGTCTATTATTCAAGGGTTACATTTTAAAATGACTAATTACTGTTTATTAGGACATGCTGGGTGAACTCCTGCAGTTAGTGCAGAATCGTTTAGTAGATTATGTATAACTCCTACTGTCACTCCTCAGCCTGCGCTCCCACATTCAAACACAACCCGGTGAAGCAAATATTGGCGGCTAAAAATGGCCGCATTGTGATTGATTGCCGACCCAAAGCTGCCCCGAAGCCAACCTTCCATTGGAGCAAAGACACTGAGCTGCTCTCTAACTCTAGCAGGTAAACCGTCTCTTAATAAATCACTCACTGATTCGTCTAGTTTGTCAGAATTTGCCTTTCTTGCTTCAAATGCCAGTATTCTCCAACTACCTACAACTTCTGTCACTGTGAGATACATCTGGGTCAGATGGAAGTGTACCTGTCATTCTGCCTTAAAGGGAACAAAATAAAATCTATTGCTTTTGCGCAACTAATTATTATTATTATTATTTTTTTTTTTTATTTTATTTTTTTTTTTTTTAAGACAAACAAAATGTTTATTCCTGTCACAGAGAGGAAATCCAACATGAACATCTTGTACCAGTGATTTTATGAGCTCAAACATCAACATTACAAATACACAAATAACCTTCTTCTCACTGCTGAACAAAAGTGAATAGATGTTATTTAATTTGTTGCGCAGAGCCACAAAAGGAAACTAAACAATTCTGCATTAACAATGACATATTCCTGCCACATTCACTTATCGTCATCCTCTGTGCCATGTTTGATGGATATTTGACTCATAACCAGAGGATAATTGGGGATTATCAGCATCTGTCAACTGCCATTGTCATGCAAGTTGAGATATATACATACACTTACATAATTATAGATATAAATCTATTATATATTGCTATATATCACATATTCATACATGTATTTTGTAAATTAGTAAGAGACAACAATGTATTTGTAAGTTAGGCTTTATCATTATCTTTCATTATTATTTCATGATCAGGAAACAAGAGAGTCACTGTGCAAACAATTGATGTACACACCAGAAAACAAATGATTTTTAAGTTAAGATTAAGTTGTCAGCCAAATCAAATCCATGCTTTTTATCTGAATAAAGTATGCAGTTTTCCTTTTCCCAGCTATAGTTCAGTTTGCTTTTCTAATCATCTTGTACTGCCCTTTAATGTTTCAGGTTGTATATCAAGAGTTGTTTAGCTGAGACTTTGCAGCTCTTGCCTGTACAGAATTTGGGATTCTGTTTGGTTTGCACTGCTCAAGCAAAACCATCAAGCAAAAATTAAACATCAGATCCATATGTGTGAAAAATCTTGGAATGATGCTTTGCTATCTGTCAGTGGCTGAAATTGAGCTCATTTGACCCCCAGACGTGTGTGTAACATCCTGCCTTGTTTTCCTCATTCACAAAACAAGCCTTAACTAAGAGCTCTGACACCCTCAACACATTTCTAGACAACCCCAATCCCCCATGGTGGCACGCACTGCAGCAGGCAATTTACTATGCAGCATATGCACCCTAATTCTATCTGAGGCTACTGTCTGTCTTGAGTGGTGATGGGGAAGCTGGTGTGCATTTGTCATGCATGAGGATTAAATGTGCAGCAAAATGAATCAAACATTATTGCTTTCGTGGAAAATGAATTGATGCTCCTCAGTGAGCAGTTTTAAGTTCACATATCTCTATTTCTTTAAAATCCACATATCTATGAGGGAACTGGTACTCGTTCTTAGCACTTACAATCCCTTTCATCATCCACAGGTCCATGAAATACCAAAAGCTAAACTTTTGACTTTTGCTATGTGTGCTGAATGTTTCATGTCATGGGGGCAGCTTCCCCTCAGCATGTGTATTTGTGTGGTTGAAGAATTAATCGTGGTTCTTCCTTAGGGTGTTTATCTGGGACGATGGAAGTTTAGAGATCCTCAATGTGACACGAGCTGATGAGGGCAGGTACACCTGCTTTGCAGAGAACGACCGGGGCAAGGCCAATAGTACAGGCTCTCTGACGGTCACAGGTTAGTTCCAGCTACACAACAATATGCAGTCAAAGGCTCGTTTTATGTATGTTTGCTTTGATAGATATCATTATCGCTTGATAATAATTCTTGTTTCCCTCAGTCCTACCAAAGCCTAGGACTGCATACTGCTCTTGAATTAAAGCCCTCAGTGCAGAGTAATAGTATACAGTCAGTCCCTCGGTTATTTCCCAAGGGGCAGATGTGTGAGGGGTTGCTTTGATCCAGAGTGATGAGACAAGATCTTAGCTGTCAAATTCATTAGAGGAAGTAAGAGAAAAGAATAGATTTTGTAACCAGCTGATTTTTCAAGCTGGAATTATATTACAAGATCTCTCTGTTTTCATTGCATGCTATCTCAGTTTCAGTTTTATAAAATGGGCTGTGGTGGTGTGCTATTTATAGCTCTTTTCTGCCCTCTTCTGGACGTTAGTATACATTGAAAGTTTTTTCCAAACCTTTGTTTAGTGTGAAGATACTGAAGGACTGCTTAACACATTTCCCCAAAAAAATGTATATGTTTCTGTTTGGTGTATCAGCATCAACATGTATATTTGACCTAATTCTCCTTTTTCCTGCCCCTCAGAATCCACAAAGATCACCTTGGCACCATCCAATGCTGATGTCCGAGCCGGGGAGGATGCCTACATGCAGTGCGCGGCGTCACATGACCCTTTGCTGGACATCACCTTTATCTGGTCCCTGGATGGACGAGTCATTGACCTACACAAAGATAGCCGGCATTATGAACGCAGCCCAGTGAGAAATTCTGTCCTTTTTTAAAATTAGATTTTGACATGAATGTCTAAACCATATCCTGCTCAAAGATTCATCCTCACCAAATTATATTTAATGTTAGGCTGATGTTGATGCTATTTTTTGTGGAATACCTGAATTTGAATAGCATGGTAAGAGTTAAGTGCGCATGGCTCTAAAAGTCTTTTAGAAGTTCTACAAATCAAACACGAACACACATTACTTTTCAGGTTAATGGCAATTTTCGTTGCCGTTCTTTGTTGTTGACATGACCTTCCCACTCTCAAAGGCCAGCTCCCAACATAACCATGTGGTCTCTCATTTGTCAGTCGGCCCACTTAGCAACCACGGTATTATGCTGTGATTGATTATACCCCATTTTAGTGTGGATGGATTTTCCCCTTGTAAAACTGCTATTTGGTTTCACTACTGTTTGTGTGGTATTAGTAAAGCCAGTTGGTTTCTTTAGCAGCAACTTCAGTCCATTAAAGTATATTTTGATTATTTGAGCCTTTGCCTTCTTACAAGGAACATTGGAAAAGAATTGCAATTCATCTTAAATTTCTGTCCCACCCTAGTCACTCTCAATTTTTTGATGACATCTTATTTTCTCTGTGTTCGAATGAGTTTCAGGATAAATTAGAAAAATATGTTATATTTGTTTACTCGTGATATTTTCCCCCATGATATGTTGATCGGGCTTGGATTAAATGTAGCTTCTTTTGTTGTTTTGTGCAGAATGGAAGCTCACAGGGTGAGCTGCTGATTAGGAATGCTCAGCTGAAACACGGAGGACGCTACACCTGCACCGCACAGACAACAGTTGACAACGTCACTGCCTCTGCCCACCTGGTTGTCAGGGGTGAGTCATGCGTGATGCTCACAGAGTGTCCTAAAATCCCTGAACACAATAGTTTATTAGATTAACACAAGGTTGTTATAAGTGATCAGGAGTTTTGGCTTTTATTCTTAGTGTCTATGTTTTGCTGTAGCTCAGCATGTCTGAAAATGGTTTAAAGTCCTTTCTGCAAAAAACACAAAGATAAAAACATAGCTACATTATGATAATGCCATCACCATATTGTAGTACAGGAATGTCAAACTAGCATAAATTGCAACTAATTATCACAGTTTTTCAGGTGCCTATTGTTGCACTCTTGTGTTTTCTTGTTCAGTTTAGTGTGGCAAAGGGTTTGTCCTGTAGGCCACACTTATGTAAGAAGACACAAGAAAAGTATGGTGATTGCAGGCATTTTGATTACCCGTGTGACTGGGAGGCCAAATCTACGAAGCCTTTTGCTGTCTAGAACTTCTTTCCCTTATAAAAACTGCTGTGGAAATGTTGTTGTTTCCCCGCCCTGTCACAGTGTGTAGTTGACGGACTAAAGGCAGGCTTGCACAAGTTAAGTGAAGTAATCTCATCAACCTCATGAAAAACCAAAATCCCTGTCTTTGAACACAGCATCAAATAATGTTGTCGATCTGATAAGGAACAAAAGAAACCTGGTGATGTATACTTTGTCCTCCAGTGTGTGGAATTGCTATTGACATGATGTAGGTGTGGCAATCTGTAATGAAACTTGGTGTAAAGAATATATATGACGCAAACCTAAATAAATGATAAATAAAGGAGATTTCACTTTCAACATATGCGTAAAGAATATTCTATCTTCCATGAAAACAAAGTAATAATGACAACAATAGAATAGCCAAAACATCATCAGAAAAGTAGCTTTACATGACTTTGGCTGAAGAGTTCTTTTACAGTTTTCTTTGCCTCATGGTGTGTTTTTCCCTTTAGCATAAACCAGTAACTATGGCCTTGATACATAAATAGTGTGCCTGTCTCGTATGCATCCCAAGGACTCTCCAAGAAAGATTCTGACTCCTTGTCAATCATTTGCCTTTGGTAAATTAACAAAAAGCCAAAGCTGTTCTTCCCACTTTGTCACACATAGAAAACTATTAAAAAAAACTTCTTGCTAACTACTTTTTGCTGAATAAAGAGAGAAAAAGACACCCTGCTACAGCATGAGCCCTGTGTGTGTTCTACAGTGAATGTTTGAAGAGGAGTAAATCTCTCGAGAAGAAGCAGACCGCAACCTTTTTTTTTCACCAGCTAATCTGTCAAGCTGAGACTCCATGTGAACAAAACTTTGAGGGGAAAGGGCTGGGAAAAGCTCTGGTATGAAATGCGCTGAATCTTCAAATGACTATTTGTGTTCATAGCCTTACAGTGCATCCAAAAATGAGTGATGTCCACCCATATGCCTGCCGGCTCTTTTGTCTAGATTTTGCTGTATGTCAAAGACATTCTTGTCTTTTCATTCAGGAAACCTTTTTTTTCTCTGTGTTTGTTGTGAGTTTTTATAACAAGTTGTTGCTGTGGCTGCATAGTCACAGTGGTTGATTTAACTAAATGGGACAAGGAGTGCTGTGTCAGTAATAGATGTTTTTTGGATAGTGCTGGATCCCATCTGTCTTCATTATAAGTGAATGCCATGTGATGGGTGATGTGATGAATCATAGATCTCTATCTCTTTCCACACCATTTTCGAATGGACAGCTGCTGATTTTGGCACTTGATATCAACACTCTCAAAGTAAACACGGAGACTCTTCGGCGGTGCTGTGTTTTCTAATGTATTTCAAGCCTCCTGGTGGTTCCGCCGGCTTTGTTTCTGTCCACACGCTGATGACCAAGAGCTTGCCTTACAGCCCTCCTCTCAGGCCACGAAACAGGCTGAATGTCAGCAGACAAAGGCTCTCTTCAGATGGCGACCCCAGGAATTCTACTGGCAATCTGGTTGCCGGTGATCCCTGTTGTGTCCGGGGTGTGCTGCTTTCAGGGCAGGTGTTGACGGACGGCCAGGTGAACGCGCAGCAGCTGAGTGTGACGTTTTTTCCTGAAGTGTAACCAAAGCACACATCCGTCCAGTGCTCCTCCTAATGGAGAGCCAAATGCCAGCAGCTCTGGGGCAAAACAAGGGGAGAGATGAAAGACAGCCATTTATCACAGCACATGAGGAAATAGATCTTCGTCAGGAGATTGCCTGAGCTAAAAAACACTGCTCTGCACCTGTAGGTTGTTATTATTAGTGATCTGAGATAGGGAAAGAAGTCATTTTCATATGATGTGTGTGTGTCTTTGCTGTGTAAAGTTACAGGCCTGCCTGAAACAGTTCTATGATACGGCAGTTTGGATATGGATCTCTGTGAATTCTGATATTTGTTCATGGTCTTGTTAAAGATTCGGGAAATATAATGTGTTTTGGAAACATGTGCACTATCACTTTAGAAATGATATGCCTAAATATAAACTAAAGCACAATATTTACTGTAGATTGTTACACTGAATTCTTCTTTGTGCTTTCCCTATATCTATGGTCTAAGGCTCCTTGCTCGTGATTTGGAAAAAGGGACATTTTTCCTGATTTCTGAGCTTCTGTGGGTTGGGAGGGCCAACCCGGACACAGTCTGGATTTTCTATTAAGCCCATTTTCTGTTGCAGCAGGAGACTCACAAGCAGCACTGGATTCAGAAATCTTTGCTTCAGCATTGATTTTCATACGCCATGCCCCTGCAAACTCTTAATACCCAAACACATTGACCTTTGCTGAGACCTTTCAAAGAAGAAACTCAAATGGAATGTATAAGGGTTGGGATGTACTGTTCCACAAATGCACCAGACAGTAGTATTTTTGTAAACTGATGCTGAAGTGTAAAGTTATTAAACTGCTGGTGGGCTCTGCCAAGAATTCCCCCTTAAGCTTGAACCTCTCCCAAAAACATCACTCAGTCTGTCTCTCTGTCGACAATTTGAGCACGAGAATGAAATATGGTGTAGCTTGAAGGACAAGACGAAGTGGTCCTCCTTAAATGGGAACCCGAGTGTTACTTTACTCTGTTCAAACCTGTAGCCACATCTGCATTCTTAACCTGCTGAAAAACACTTACAGCGTGTCTGTTAATCTGCTTATTCCAGGTCCCCCCGGGGCCCCAGGTGGGATGCGAATAACAAACAAAACCGACAAGAGTATGACTTTACAGTGGAGCCGCGGAGCTGACAACCACAGCCCCATCTCCAAATATACCATCCAGTACAGGGATGAGTTCTCGAAAGAAGCCTGGAAGAATGCCACCACATGTAAGAGCTCCCGCATGATGCCTGATTAAATTTAAACCGCTACTCTAATGCAGTTGTTGAAATCCCATTCAGCAGCCCGTATGCCGGTAAACGTCCACAATATAATTGTACTTCAGTGCTACAAGCTAAAAGCAAGAAGTTTAAAATAGAACTTAATGGTTATTAAAGGGTGGTTTTGTTCAATAACAGAACAACACAACCAGTGCTCTGTAATGTCATAGTGTGTATTTCATACTGTACGTTTGTGTGTTTACCACCAGCTCCCGCTGATGTTGAGGGGAATGCGGAAACAGCCACAGTGGTGAATTTATTCCCTTGGACAGAATACGAGTTCAGGGTCATTGCCACCAACACTCTTGGGACTGGAGCCCCAAGCCACCCATCACCTAAAAACAGAACCCTCGAAGCAGGTAAGAATGTTTTTTTGACTTAGGACCTGCTTTCTACATAATTACTGCACAGCATGCTGGAAAATACAGAAGCACAACCATTTTATAGCCAACGTTCCATTAAAGGCCATGAAACAGAAGGAAAATAAATGTTCTATAACACTATAGTTTTCCATTCTGTTATTTATACATCCTCGTTCTATTTTTTTTCACTGTATACTCATCTTAAGTATGGCTGTAGAAGTGAGTCAGCAGAATTTGCATCGTGCTGTGTTTGTCAGAGCAGAACCTTGCTGCCAAACCTACCGCACAAACCACTACAAATGAGCACTTTGGTAAAACTGTATGCTGAAATTTAATTGTGAAATGAGAATCACAGACCTGCAGTGACCTCGCTATGAAAAAAAATATCAATTGAAAGTGAGCTGCCGAACTGGAGGTAAAAATAAGAAGAAAGAAGATAACCTGCTTCTCTCTGACTTCTCTCTGGCTGGCAGGTTTCCCACATGCACATTAAGGTGTTGAGTTTGGCTCGGAGGTAGACACCGATACTGTGTTTGCAGAGGAAGGATGTTTCGGTTGCGTAGCCGCGGCTAGGTTACAGCCTCTGTGGCTTGGCTTTATTTGTGTGGATTGGGAGCATGTGGGCTCAGAGTTTTGCCATTGCTGTCTCATTGTAGTTCCTGTGGTGGCGCCCTCAGATGTCGGAGGGGGTGGAGGGGCCAGCAGAGAACTGACCATCTCGTGGACGGTAGGTTGGGACTTTCCAGATTACAAATCCACTTGAAAATCGACTAGATGCAGTTAAGTCTATAGGCTGACTCATAGACCGAAACCAATAAATGTGATTCCACTTTTTAATCAAAACAATCTTTTGAGGGCATTTTTTATGAATACCTTGACAAAAAAGAAAGACTAAATGCTAGAAAAAATGCTACAAAGACAGATGCTTTTTGAAAACATTAAATGGCCTTAACCTCTGTTGGTTTTCAGTTTAGTACGAAATCCAAAAATGATCCAGCGCTGCCTCAGAGATGCTTTGGTGTCAGGACTGCAATCTCAAGGGGGGTTTTGTAATTATTTGACATGTTTCTAAGAAAAGAGGAAACCACTTTTAGACCTTTGACTTCCACTTGGAAGTAAAAAGGCATGCAGGAATTCAAGCTGAGATCACAGATCCTTGAGTTATCTTAAGCAGCTTTCTACGGGTATGTGGCCTATGTTCGAAGGTTTCCTATGTTTGACTGGATATTTGAAGTTTGTATAAAAAGTGACAGGCCCAAAAACAGATAAACAGCCAAAATATTACACAGTGATGTGCTTCTCATTGAATGGGTTTACCTCACCGAAAAGTAAGTAACACTCATGTTGTAGATGGAAACAGGTTTGCGGTTTTGGTTGGAGAAAAGAAGAGCACATAGGGAACATTAACCATTGATAAATCTTCAGTAAAAGCTGTCTTTTGACCATTTCTTTTTCTTTTTTTCAGCCAGTACAGCCACAATATTACTATGGACCTAATTTTGGCTACATCATCGCCTTTAAACCCCCGAAAGAAAATGAGTGGAAACGGGTGGCAGTAGCTGAACCTAAGGCCAACCGCTATATCCACAAAGACCCCAACATGCCTCCTGTGACCGAGTTTGAAGTCAAAGTTAAAGCATTCAACAGCCAAGGAGAGGGTCCCTACAGCAGAAGTGCCACCATTTATTCTTCAGAAGACAGTGAGCATCTTCCAACACTTTAAAAGAAAAAACTCTGCCAAAATCCTCTCAATACAAAACTGAAGAAGAACCTGATCAACTGCTATTTTCTTCTGTTACTGTTTGCGACTGAGCACTAGCATGATTTTATGTAGGGTGGGATCCATTTAGAATTAGTTCTCCTGTATTGTTATGAGGAATTTTAATAACCCTTGAAAGCCAACCCATCTCCTCGTCTCCTTCCCTTGTGGGGGGATTATAGTGATCTGTGTAGCATGAACCAGAAAGCTGATAATTCACCCAAGGATGTGAAGCATTTATCCTGGTTATTAACTTTCAGTGACAGACAGTTGAGATAACCACGGGCAAACCAGACACGGCGGCTTGCTGCCATGGTAACCCACCTAAGGGAAGCTTTACATTTAAGCATATATATGACTTTGTTAGTCTCTCATGGAAAATTGCTGTCTGCATTCATTTAAATGCCTCCATTCGAATCTGTAGTCATATGGACATATATTTGTTTGGATTTCACAGTATTGTGCCTCCTGCTGTTACTGGATTCAGTCACAGCATGTAAAGGGTGGCTGGGGAAAAGCTCGGTTCCAGTGTGACAATCTCACATTTGTTATTGTTATTTACAGGGAATTGTCTGCATTGCTAAAATTACTGTGTATTAAAGCATACTTTAGAGTTTGTTCTGTAATGCTTTTGTCCTGACAAATTCTGCTCATCTTCTCAGCTCCATCTGAAGCTCCCATGAATCTTGATGGCAGAGCAGTGTCTGCCACAATGGCCACCATCTCCTGGTCGCACCTCTCACAGAGAAATGTAGATGGATACCAGGTCAGTCAAGATATTATTTGCATGTTGTTGGAAATGATAGTGTCCTTTATGTTTTTCTAAAGTTATAGTACGACATAAATTGTATTCCAGCACGACTCTCCTGCAAATCTCCGCTTTCCTTTGCATGTGTGCAGTGCAGTCTGTTCAGATTCTCATTCAGTGTCTCATATGTAAATCACTCGGGTGGCTGTTGTTGACAATGTGCTATTTTTATCACACAATGTTTGTGGAGAAGAAAACATCCATAAAGACGTTGTTTTGCAGGTTCTGGTGGGAGTAAGACTGACAGAATGCACATATTAGTTATTGTTATTATGATAGCAATAATTATCGATGTTTCTTTGCTACCTAACTCTTGTCCTAGGTTAAGTTTTGGAGAAATCACGAAGATGGTGAAGGGGGAGCCAAAACGATATCAGTATCCAGTCGGGACAACCACACCAGGCTTGATGGTTTGGAGCCCAGTTCAAACTACATTATCGAGGTCCGAGGCTACAATTCTGCAGGATACGGGCCACCCAGCAAGCAACTTAAGATCCAAACCAAGAAGCCTCGTATGTTGTGCTTAGATGAATTTCAATTCTGAACAGCAGGGACATGCACACATCTCACAGCTGTCCATCCTACAAATAACATTTGATATATCCCGAAAGAGCACTTATATGTCAATGTTACTCTTCTTCTACCAGCTCCAGATCGACCCCCGAAAATAATGGGTATAAAGCTAAAGGGCCAATTGGTCAATGTTGCCTGGGAACCCGTGGAACCACTGGGTAATGAGTCATCAATAGATGAATACCGAGTGAGTACATTTACAGTCGTTGCATTTCTAAGATGAGACCGAAGCAGCAGGGAATCCCACATCTGTCATAATGACGTGTCCATTGTACATCCAGGTGCTGTACAAACGGAAGGACAACTCCACAAGTGTTCTGTACAAAACCAGTAGGCGCTTTATAGACCTTCCACTGCACTCAGATGGGGAATATGTGGTGGAGGTTCGAGCACACACAGAAGGAGGAGAAGGGACGGTGGCAAAGATTGACATCACTGGTAACGATCATATTCTTTCCCATTTTGCTGTGTTTGAGAATGAGTGAGCACTTCATAAAGTTAGAGTCAAGAAGGTAGCAGAGGAGATCTGAGGAAAAACATTATATTATAGGAGTGAGCCTTCCTTTGAGTGATTATTTCATTGACATTAAATTCACGGAGCAGCAATAATCTCGTATGAAAAATATTACGCCGACCTGACCCAGGTTTGGTTTCACATCAGTGGAATACAAATAAAGACTTCAGTCACCTACTGACATTTTAAATCCATAGTGTTGATGTGAAACAATGTGCCTATTCATTCTGATCAGCCATTTGCTTGTGGATTATGCCAGGCTCAGAGCTAGCAGTAGGTTATCATTTGTCAAAGCTAAGGGGTTCCCATGGGGCCGAGTGGAGCTGTCACTTCAGGTTTCATACCGCAGACTGGAGGGATGAGATGACCCATGACTAAAGCCTTGATAGCCCACTGACTGGATCCTCTGGCTGGCTGATGGACCGACGGGCTGACTGGATAAGCCTCTGTAATTGATCTTGATGAGAATAGGAAACCTCCCCTGGGGTTTTGCTTATCCTTTATCATTCACTCCAGACCCCACCTGACAGCTTGATTTCACAGACTTAAGTGAATTTAAGTCACACGGGATTTCAAATGCAAGGCATTGACAAACGGAGGGGCGTTTAAGGTGACCCCCCCCCCCCCCCCCACAGATGGGGTGTATCGCACTTCACATATCAAATGTTGTATTAGGTTTGATGGATGAGAATTGGTGGGATGTGTATTTTTTTGTATTGTATGTCAACTTCTTGGTTTCAAAGTAAAGGTAAAAAAGCCATAGTGACCTGTTTTGTCGGCTAATTCCTCAGGGATCTGCCAGGGCTGTTTTTTAAGGTTAATCTCAACAGGAACTAAAATGTTTAATTGGTGGCTTTTGTCTTAAGTTGTTATCTTGGTGTTCAGTGTTGGCTCTCTTTTTAGTTGGGGACATCATAATGGTAACTTAGATAGACCCCCTCCTGACCAATGAACTCTCAAGGGAGACAGAAAAAAAATTGCCTGCATGAAATGTGAGACAGTGGGAGAAATGGGAGGTCGTTTTTAGAACTTTTCAGTCAGACTCTAAATTGAGCTAAGATCTTGCATATGGTATAGGTTGTCTATCCATCCATCCATTATTCATACTTCTTATTCTTAGTAGGGCCTCAAGGGGGCTGGAGCCTATCGCAGCTGACATGGGGTGAGACACACTCTGGACAGGTCATAGATTTTCTAAGATAGGTTTTAACCATCATCCCATGTGTTAATAAATTAACAAATCCTCTTCCTCCTGTACTTCATCTATTTATTTAGAGCAGTTCACGTTTATGTTATAGAAACGCAAGAAACACCTGAAAAAAATCAACGCTCATGGTACTTAATAAATATCAGTTTTGGTTTCATTAAACCAGAATTTAGTTTGATTGAGCCAGTAAAGTTATTAGGGCCCAAACTGCATTTTTTCTTCTCTTCTCTTTCAGGTGGGGGCATCATGGCCTCTTCGTCTCTCAGCATACTCTCCTTGCTCCTGGTCGTACTCTTCCTCCTGAACCTTTGAATGTAGCGCCTTGTTGGTCTTCATTTCCCATGAAGGAGACTCCAGTGGTCGCTTAAGGTTCACGCCTAAAAGGATTTCAGGACTCTTTCCACAATGTTTTGGTTCCACCCTGTAATCTGGGATCTCACTTTCCAGCTCTTTCCCTCTGGAATACATTTGTGGAAATACATTTAGAAAATGGAAAAAAGTTGAAAAAAGGACAAAGACATTCCTTATTTATCCACAAAAGCCTCTTTGGAGGAGTGTCAAAGGAGTTCTGTCAACTTAAAATGCCTTATATAAACGATTGCTCTTATCTTTCATGGTGACTTGTTTTAAAATGGGTGGAAGTGTAAATCCTATGGTTTGCATTGATCGCCTCTTTGAGTCTTTGTACATCTAAAAGCACACATTTCTGATATAAAGATGATGCAATTTCAGAAATCTTGGCTTGATTTGATCTGTGGTAATTTGGCACAGAAACCCTTCAGTGCATTCCAAACAAAGAGCTGAACAAGTCGCTGTGAAGGGCAAGAGTAGGAGTTTATGGAAAATAATTTCATGCATTCTGTAACAAGCAGTTTAGTGCTTGTTTAGAATTGTTTTTCATTAAGTCAAACAACTCTCATTTCAGAGATACAGTCAAAGCAAATCTCAACCTCTTCCGCACCTAATTTTTAACAGCCATAGAGAAGAAAAGCAATGTATGTCATGCTGAAATGATATATTCAATAACTGATATTATTTAAATATCTAATATATTCTTAATGATACATGAAGACAAGAAGAATCGTTTAACCAACAATCAGTGCTTTTTCTCCAAACCATAACGTAAGCTCTATTAACACCACTTCCAAACTGTGTGCATGTTGACGTTGTTACATGGAAGTCAAGTGTTTAATGTTTGGCCGTTTGGCAAGTGCATATTTGGGTCCAACCTGATTTCCAACTAAAGCATATAGGAACAACAAAATATTGTCGAACATGCAGCTGTCAGCAGTTATACTGAGTGCTTGTAACATCTGGTTATATTTGTGCAATGATCACAGCTTTGCAACAGCATTTTGGCAGAAATTGAGAGCGAAAACTGGAAAAAACAAAAGCTAACTGAAGTCCACATTGTTTTGACTGTATCGTTAGGACCTCAGTGGTACCAGCGGGTGCTCTGTAAAGAATGTTAGCATTTCATTTAATGTTAAGAATTTTATTTGATATTTCCTTGTCGATGGCTTTGTGTTAGAGTCTCTATCAAATGTAACAATGAACGATAGCGGCGCTCATGCCCTCAAATAACTGTGCAATGTCTGACTCATCTGTGGTTACTTCATGTTTTCTAATAAGACAACTTGCTGAGCTCCTGCAACAGGATTCTTGTATATTCCATTTTTTCTTGATCAAATATGAGCAAAAGGTAAGCAAAGCCATCCATATCAGCTGTAAGAGCTCATCCAAAGCTCGCAATGTTGTTTCAAATGCATTATTTTTTGTCTTTTTAAAAACATATGATCAGAGTTATATGGACATCATCAACTGTTGGAATATATTTAGTTTTTGATTCCTATATTTGTATGTCTTGACCTGTTGGACAGTTTAAAAGTTTATTTCCCTCTAATGGAGGAACAAATGCTGCGTTTTGAGTTCCTCAGTCATTTGTTTTATGACCCACGCCGGTCATGTTTCTGCATTGTGACAGTATCAATATCCACCACAAAGTGCTTTTTCCCGGTTTATCTTCATGCCACTTCAAAAGAGTTGCCAAATGCATGAACGCCTTGAACTTTGACAATTTGGACAGAGCAGTGGCCCGACATAATAGCATGCATGAGGTTGGAGGCAAAGTACACGTCTTTGTGACGGTCCGACACCATAGCAACATCTCAAGCTCTCATAAAACACATTCCATTCCCGAGTGGCATCCCTTTATGTCAGAGGCGGTGTAGATCATAGGCTAGTGTGTGCTGTAGCTGCTGAGTCAGACATCTCATGTGAGGAAAGCTTATAGATGAAAAAACATCCTCCACTGACTAAAGGAATGTCACTCATTCAAGTTAAAAATGGTCATGCAAATTTGTGTCCATGTGATGCTGGGGATCCGGTGGCATCAGTGGTGTTAGTGGCAGCAGTTGTGGCTGTTTACTGGATATGAATGGCATATGTGAGGGAAGAAACTGAAACCTCTCATTGAACAAGGAACAATAAAAGTGTAGTTAACTATTATTTTGCTCTGCTTGTCTTTTTGGCTTTTTTTTGTTTTGTTGTTGCAGTAATTCTTTCCGTGCTGTGAGTGTTGGGCAGGATGTGGATGAATGTGATCTAGAAAAAATAAATTAAAAAAATATGTTCATCCTCAGGACCTTTAGTTGAGAACTGAGAGTTCTGTACATTTCAATTTCTCTGCGCTTGTTTGCAAAGCCAAAGAAAGGGTACTCACTTTGAATTAAATTTCAGCAGCTCTTAATTGTTAAGGGAATTGTGTTAAGGGAAATAAAGACTAAGAGTTCTAATGCAGAACTGAAAAACGCAGATAAATCTCTACATACTTAGAGCAGGACTGAAAAATGCTGGGAAATAGCCACGATTAAGGAGCTATATTCCATTTCATTAATTAGAAATTCCCCATTAGCATACTGTTTAAGTCATCACTGTCATGGATTAAACCATATTTGACACAAATACACTTTCCAGTTGGGCTTGCAATAAATCTCCACAGTTCTCACAGTTCTCACAAATGAGAAAAGCATCAATAATTAATCAACAACTTTTGTCATCAACCCAAGCAATTGCAACATGTCATCAGTTTATTTGTTGAGCCCCCATCTCGATGTTCACCTTGTTTTCCATCTGAAAGCCATTCTTTACCAAAAACCAGCACATATGTATAGTGTTTCAAGCTGTCCTTCTTTACAGATAAGGCCAGTTCGTTTATTTTTTATTTATTTTTTTTGTCCAGGAGAAACAGCTGTTGGAGTTTTGTCTCCTATCAGGTATCAAGCAGATGAAAGGTAAAACGATAACGCTTATCTTCTTGGATTAGGTCAAAACAAATCAATCAGATATAGATTCTGGGGTTGAACAAGTCCACGGCAGTAATTGGCTGAAATCAGCTCACATGGGAGAACAAAAGACACAGATAACTTTTTTTTTTGCAATGATTTAGGGATTTATCAGTTCCAGCATATGGCCTGCGTGATAAGTCTGATCCCAGGTGGCTTTGTAACACGTTTTTCCAAATCACATTAACATGAGGTAGCTTACCATATGCTGAATGCCCCTCTCTGCCACCTTCCTGCTTTATAGCACGCCTTGTTGCTGTAATAATCGGTGTATTTAAAGAAACGCAGCATTTCTGTTTCATTTAGACTGACTGATGGTGGGGAAATTCTACGACTCTCTGTGTTCTTTGTGCGTGTGCTTTTGCAGACAGGTGTGCAGTGACCACAGACTGTAGCCTACTGCTGTCTTTGTAAGCCTACACCTCTTCCATGACAGCCCAGACAACACAAAACATACTTCAGATTGGTGCACGCAGCAGACCAGAACCAGACAGCTTTGCAGGGAGACCTGAAATGTGAGTCTGAGTCTATGAGAGGCCCGGCAGTATAGTGTGCTGCCTCAGGAAGGACTCGGGCCTGGCTGGAGATGTAGGGCTACAGCTGGGATTTTGTCCCTCCTTTTCAAAGACAATGAATCAATGCAGAGCCTGTGACTGGACTAAAGGGCCACAGAAATAGGAGGCAATGCAAAAATCCATAACGCAAATAATCATAAGTAATGTTAGTGTCATATTTCGTACTCAACTTATTCACATCTTCTACGAGGAATAAAACATTCTGAGATAGTGAACCAATGAGCGGGCTCTGCTGGAGAATAATGAGAGCGCGTGCTCTGGTTGCGTAAACTGCACAAAAACAGCGTCTGCGACTAGATGTTTTACTTTCAGTGCTAATTCTAAGCAACACATCAAGTAAAAACAACAACAATAACAAAAGGGAAAGGTAAAGAGTCCGACAAACTTAGGACAGTTTTAGAGTCCTCTGGTCGCGTGGTGCGCTCTGCGGCGCAGTCGCGTCTGCGCAGAGTAAACTGCGCAGACCTCTCAAACTTTTCACTGCTCTCATGTGTTGAGACTTGCAAGAAAAAAAAGAAAAAAAGAAAAAAAAAGGTCCGGCCCAACTCTCTCCTACGAAGGAGAAAGCTGCCAGTGCAAACTATGCCTGCCGCCTGCCCAAACATCCAATTGAGACAGGACCGAGTCAGTCAAATTTTAAAACCTCGGCGCTATGTCGCAAAGAAAGCCGCACACGGGGGGTCAGCGCGGTTATATCTGTGAGAAAGGATGCGGGCTCGTGCTGTCCGGGGGCGACTGCGGCGCGGAGGGCCACTGCTGCGTGCGCGCGCTGCGCCGCGTGACCTGCGCGCTGGAGGAGAAGGGCGCAGCTCTGGAGCGCGAAGCCCGGATGGCGCGGCTCAGGTGGAACAGGAGGGAGCGGTCCCTGTTGGCCCAGGTGACCACTGCGCAGCACGAAGCCCAGCTCGCCGCGGTCAAGCACCAGCAGAGGCTGCACCAGTACCTGCTGCGCATCAACGGCATCACGCAACAGGTCGCCGCATTCTGCCAGGTGAGGGGATGAGCGAAAAGTGTAACGGACCCTGTTTGGATGGGCTCCTGAGCACGTTTTTTTTTTGTTTGTTGACTGATTTAGAGTGACTTCAGGGCGGCTGCTGACATGCAGAGCCAGACATCAACAGAGGGAGCCCCACAGGTAAGAGGAGAACTTCTGATTCTTCCTAAGAACTTTTCTCTGAGACGCTGCTGGTCTGGTTGGTGCAGGATTTGGAACATCAGAGCCTTTTTTCTCTTTATCTTGTGCTCTCGGAGTTTGCATCTTCCCCTGTTTCACCAGCTGGCTCTGCTCAGTGTTGGCCAGCCATTTCCTCTTGTAAATGTTGACTTTGGGATCACAGTCTGACTGACGATGGCTTAGAGAAGGTAATCTCCCCTCACACCCTTCTGTTTATCATCTGCTGTGGTGTGGTCTTTTATCTCAGGCAGCAGGACTGTGTGTTTATGAGAAGGAAATGTATTGTATAAATACCAGGCCGTGGAGTATTTTCATATCTGCTGGAACTGCAGTCACTAGTCAGTTACAGGAGTCTGTTCATGAGATTTCAGTTAGTGTCTTATTATTATTGGATGCCTTAAGAGATGACAACAGTCGTATTTTGCCTTTTCTTATGCCAGAGTTTAGCTATCATATAATTGCAGACTACCATTATCTGTCGACAATGCAAAGTTAGTGAAAGAATCATGGATGTAATTGACTAAAATGAATGCAACATCAGTATTCATAGGAATAGTATCTAAGCAAATTCACTGAAATCAACTTATAATTATTTCCTCACCCATTTTTTCCCCCTGATTAACTGATTTTCTCTCCAAAAACAAAATAAGCTGTTTGTTGGTATGGCATTGTTGCATTAACTGAACAATTATACAAAATACATTATTATCCAGCTGACTGAAGTTTGATATTCCAGGGATCAGCCATAGATGACCCGTAGTGTGGACTTTTAGTTTTGATCTGATTTCTTCCATCCTTTTGAATAATGTGTTTTCATAATGCTGCATCGAAATCTTTTCAATTTTTTTTACTGCCTCATCCACAGCAATTTATAATTCATATGCTGAGCTGAACAAACTGCCCAGAGTTTGGTTGTTGGAGGGGATTTTTTGAAAACCTCCCTTTACGGCTGCTGAATCTAATATTAGCTTTTGTTTCAACAAACCCATGAGGTAGTCTAAAAGTTTGTGTTATTATCCCCCTGGCCAGGACCTTTTGTTGTGTTTGGGCTGCTGTTGAGGGTGGATGGGTTTAATTGTGGTAATGGTCACTTAAAGTATCCCAGTAATGGCCTACAGCATGCAAGGAGTGCAACAAGCTCGCTTTTGATTAATGTGGAAAACTGTTGAGTCTCTGGCCAAAAACTGGGCAACAAGGCAGCATCTATTTTGGGCCCTCTTATTTCTTGCCTAAGCGCTCCTCTCTAATGTGTGTTTAATAGTGTTGTCACTGTGCGCTGCTTTCCAAATGGATTTTCCAATACTTGAGAGAGAGAGAGAGAGAGCTGGGTTGCTGCTCGGGAAAGCGAGTTTTGAAGTTATGGGTGGTTATCTTTTAGAGAGACAGAGCTGGATAACGGAACAACCCAGAAGTAGTTATGGAACATCAGAAACACGTCAGTGTCGCTTTAAATCAAGCCTGACCTTTTACTGAGTTCACATTAAGTTGGCAATTTTGTACAATTTCGACATAAGTTGCAATTCTTAAAAAATTCATTACAAAAATATTGTTTTGATTCTCAATTTAATTTTACTTGTGGATGCCAACGTAAGAAGCATATTCCTGAAGACACTGGAATGGCAAAAGAAATGCTCAGTTGGTTAAGACTTCTTGTAAATATTACATTTTGTATGGGTTTCAGTTAATTAAATGTAGAATTTGGTTAAAATTCTCCTTCCTCGTAAAGTTTTAAACAGCTTGGCTTCAAATTACATAAGAGAAGGTGTAATGCCACATATTCCTGCAAGACTCCTCTTATGATCAAAGCCTGCTATCTGCTCCTTGATCTTGATGGAGTGCACGAGGGTGCTGTGCACGGTGCTGTCCCGGGTTCCTGACTGGATGAAACTCACACTCAGGATGGCAGATTCTCTGTAGTTCCTTGGATCCCACCTGATCTTTGACTATGTTTTTGTATCTGACACTGTGTTGCTTTACACTCTTTCTCTAAGATTCTTTAGATGCCCTCTCTTGGAAGTGGTATAAAAAATATGTATTCTTACCATCTATTCAGATGACACACAGTTTGATCATTTTCTTCACATCGCCTGATTTCACCAAGTTCTTTAATTCTCAATGATCTGGACATATCAGATGGACATCCAGGAGCGTTACAGCCATTGTGAGTCATGGTGTACTTTCCCGTGTACCTCAAAGATGCACTGATCTAGATCCTGCTGATTGTGTGTTTAGTGGTCTAACAGACAGTCTCGTTGGTGGCTGTGAGTCAGTCTGACAGGTCTGCTATGTTGGAACAGCAACAGGATTTGCCAGTTTTGTAAAAACATACCAACCTTCGCTGGCCATCCAATTTGCTCCCAAGTTTGTGTAAAACCAGATGGAAACGTGAAATGAAACCACAGTTGATGTACAACTGTCATGCTGCTGTTTTTAATCTCCCAAATCTGAACTTTAGTCTTGGTCGG